CTAATAGTTGTGGCTTTAACCACAGGACTAAATGTTTCTTCAAAATCTATCCCTTCAAGCTGCGAGAATCCCCTTGCGACAAGTCTGGCCTTGTATATATCTACTATCCCATCAGCTTTTAACTTTGTCTTGAACACCCATTTTGAGCGAACCAAATTTATACCAGGAGATTTGGGCACCAAAATCCATGTCTTGTTAGTATGCAAAGCATCAATTTCTTCCTGCATTGCTGCAAGCCAATGAGGTGACCTTAGTGCTTCCTTAGTAGTACTTGGTTCTCTCAAAATTTTTGTGCTGCTGCGAGCAACAAGTCACAAGTGTTGTTCCTTCGCCTTGTGCCTAGTGATCATATGATGCCCTTGTGGTGCAGGAAGTACCTCAACTGGTACATCAACCAAAGTAGTTGACTGGAGTGTAGCATTGCCAGATTAATGATCAACTGGTACATCAACTAAAGTAGTTGTTTGATGATGCTCATTGGCTGGACCTGTAAGTGCAACTTGTTCCTCACTACTACTAGCAGATCTAAAATTTGCAGCTGGAGTTTCAATACTACTGTATGAATAATCATCTTCAACCTGTTCCTCAGTATCTGATCCTGCGCCTGAGAGGTCAATAGTACTCTCATCATCAATGAGTATATGAGTTGTAGCAACATTATCACTAGTAATGTGTGGACTAGCAGCTTGTACTTCCCATGAATCAGACTTATCATGTGCCTGCAATTTAAAAAAAGATTCAACAAAAAGTAGCAAGATGAGTTGAGACATCAACATTAGTCTGAGATTGCTTTGGAGACGCATAGGGTAATGTGTTTTCATCAAACACAACATGTCTGGATATGTAAACCCTTCTTGTAGGGGGATGATATCATCTATATCCTTTGTGTAAGCTGTTGTACCCTATGAACATACAAGGGGAGGTCTTTGGACTGAATTTGTTGCTACCCTTGATATATGGAAAACATATACACCCAAACACTTTAGGCTGTTGTAATCAGGTTGTTCCCCATACAACTTAACAAATGGAGTCATCATTTTTCGGACTGAGGAGGGCAGTTTATTGATGAGAAATACTGCAGTGAGGAAAGCCTCAACCCAAAGAAACAAAGGTAAATTAGCATGAAGTAGTAGAGTTAAGTCAGTCTCCATAATATGCCTATGTTTTCTCTCTGCAACTCCATTTTGTTCAGGTGTGTTAGGACATGAAATATGTCTCACGTATGCCACAATCTTCCAAATGCTTAATGAAGTCTGTTTGGATAAACTCACCACCTCCATCACATTGAAAAATCTTAATTTCTTTAGAAAATTGTTTTTCCACCATTTTCTGGAATTTTAGAAAGACCTTCAAAGAATTCAGATTTCTTTTTCAATGGATAAATCCATGTATATCTCGTGTGATCATCAACAAAAACAACATAATATTTCATATATTGGGAAGATTCGATAGGAGCAGGTCCCCATAAATCACAATGTATTTTCAATAAAGGTTATTTCTCAATTTTATTTCTCAAACCAAATGGAAGTTTTACAACTCTTTCCCAATTGACAACTGGAACAAACAGTAGGCATTTTATTCCAACTACTAATATTGATGCAACTATTACTATTCAAAACTTTTAAAGACTTCAAACTAGGGTGTCCTAATCTAGTATGCCACATGTTATCCGACGTATTCCAATCACGTGCAGCAGTCAAACCATAGAGATTGTTATCTTCCAAAACATATAGTCCATTCCTTTTAGTTCCCTTGGCCAGCAGTGTCCTTGTCTTCTTGTCTTTTACAACAAAGTTAGTTTCATCAAATTCAAGAGTGCAACAATTATCCTTTGCAAGCTTACTAACTGAGAGTAAATTTTTATTAATCTTAGGGACTACAAGAACTTCTTTAACTTTAGACCTGATCCGGATATGTTTCCAACATGTGTTATATCTAACTTTGATCCATTCTCAATAATGATTTTATCTATTCCATTGTAGTGTTTAAGATCAGTTAGGATACCTGAGTTATGTGTCATATGGCTACTTTCTCCTGAGTCCACATACAAGGTGTCATCAGTAGTGTTTTGTA